TAGTGAAATCGACAGTTATCTCCCAGCTGAAACTACTGGCTGGTGATCGTGCGGGGGTCGGGGGTGCCGGCGCAGCACGACTATATCGGCAGTTGACGACTGTTGGACTTGCGGTGGCCGGTTGGAAAACCCAATCCTACACTATAACATTCAAGATTTTAGAATTTGCTACTGAACGGTAATCTATAGAAAACAAGAAATAACCAGATTCACATGATTATTTTCATTGTGTTCTAGCCTGCTTTACACTTTTCTTCTGGATCTGACAGCATACTTTGTCAATACTGTGCCTTTTGTCAGGCAATTATTAATTTTCAGATGTTAAACAGGGTCCTTGAACGCACCCCGGTGGTGAAATTTAAAAATGGTCTTTACTCACAAGGGAAATGGGGTAACTTTGAAAAAAAATAAGGGTGACAAACTGTTCACTGTGATGGATTACGTATGTATCTCAAGCTAAGTTTCAAGGCTCTGCAAATTGATTTTCATGGCTCACTGAAATTAATTAAACAATGGCTGCTGCAAGGTAGGAAATCGATTCATCTAAGTCACCAATAATATGTATGTACACAATGTGTAGTTACTGGGTGGAAACATGGAAAAGCAGGGGAACCGTCCTCTAATTTTACACTTATTGGGGGGGGGGAAATATGGAGTTTGCAGCATATGACAAAAGAGGTAAAAGATCACTTACGAAAGGCCAGCCAGGCTTGATATGGGAGCTCCAGACCTCTGCCTCTGCAGTCTGGTTCCAAGGCCATATTTTTCCTGAGTGAATTTATGAGGGGAAAAAACAAAGATTAGGCATTCTGGCAAATGAAAATTAAGGAGGACTTTGAATTAATCTACGAAAATACCTAATCTACAACAAGTTTTCTACATAACTACTTCTATCACAAGGTCTTGGCAGTATTGACAACTTTTAAAAACAAAAATGAAAACAAATGGCATTTCACATTTAAATAAACAATAAATAAGCCAAAATAAATGTCATTGGTTTTCTAGTAAGAGACATCTAGAGCCTGTTTACACCTGCTATTAACATGCATCGAGATTGGACCACAAACGGACAGCTCTAAATACAAGCATACGACCACCAAGATGCACTGTGATCTGATCACTCAAAACACTTGCCAGGGTGGTCTGGGACACATTTGACCACATATCTTTTTGTAGTGTAAATGCTAATGCATCCTGGGGCACAATGAAGGACTGCCTGACTGTCCTGTAAGTAAACAGAAACATGCTATCTATGTGGTTCATGTTTGGGCTCTCTTATCTGCCAAGTTAAGCAGCAGATGTTAGTTTCAACTGATGAACTTGTAAACCCAATGTCCCCAGACTCCCTTACATTTTGAGAGTTGAGTGTGGAGGAACTTTCTAACTTTTTGAAACACTATCTACGACAAATTCTTCATTATTTGGGCCTTCTTGTAAATCCAGCAAGCTTTATACATAAACTTTGAACGGAAAACATTGTTCGTTTGTCCCAGTGTGTTACTATTGTTGGGCCACCGGTTAAAAACCACAGCATTTGGTCTTTGCAAACAGGAACGATGTCCATGTTTCTATGAATATAGAGCGGGGAAGTGAGATCTGATCACAAGCGGTCACTTAAGACGCATGTGCAGACGCCAGGCGTAAACTGACATACTAAGACCTGTCTGCGTGTGTTTAGATTACCCCAGACGCATGTTAATATATTAATAAGTGTAAACAGGCTCTAACAGGAGCCCTTATGCCCAGGATAGAGGGAGAGAATCAACTGAACGTTCAGGACTTAATGTAGTATGAAAAATATTTTGTT